GATACGGTAAGGGCAGCGGAGGGGGCCGTGGGTCGGGAGGGGGACAGTAATCCTATTCAGCTGAATCATCGGCCAACAGCATGGAATAAAGCTGTTGATCCGCAATGCATCCATCCATGAACTCTTTTCGAGTAAGTACGCCATCGTGATTGAAGTCCATCTTCTCGAATATTTCTTCTGTTCTTGCCTCGGGTGTCAGGTCAACTGTCGTCTCATCAGCTCCCAGCATACTATAGATAGCCTATAAAAAGATCCAAAGTTGGGAATAGGCACAAAAATATTGTATTTAAAAAGTTACTTAATGGACCAAGGAAATATTCCTACGTTTATGAAGATAGTAAGCACAAACACATGCACTGAAACGGTAAAGTAAGGCCTGTTTTACCTGACAAAAAGCAGACTGCTTGCTTAATTAACTCCAGTCTACTCTGAAATCCGAATGACCCGTATTCGTTTTTTGCATGCTATTTCCCTCATCCCCAAGGCTTAAAATATTGAAGGGTATAATCTCTATTCGTTTACTTTTTAGGATTTCCTCTTGAAATCATCGTCAGAGAGAGAGAAAGAGGTAGAAACGGGCGGTTCGTACGCAGGAATTTGGAGCATTTCCAGGATACATTCGCTGTGCTGCGGCATACCTATGACAATTTACGACTAACAAGAATGTGCGCTGATTGCTCAATGGCCGGTGTGGGGGTCATGGCATTCTAAAATTGCATCACGTGTGCTCGCTCCCCAAGTGTCCAATTGCTTTGACCAAACTGACTCAAAACGGAATACAGGTTGGGGAGATCATTGCACTTGTATATAAACTGGAAGCCCATAAATCATGACCTCAGCAACTCGCAGCTCACAGGTTTTGTATCTCATCCATATTTGGTGCGCAGACAGAGTTTAGCCAAAGCAATCTATTATTCCAGGAGCGCAGAGGCGAACATATTTTCCAACGTCAGCGCCAATAAGCTGGATGGCCGGGGACTCATCACGTCAAAATCCAGCACGAGTGATAAACGTTCAGCAGGTCATCGTGACATTAGTGTATGCGCGGGCATTTATCTTTAATAAGTG